TTCGACAAAGAACCCCGACCTCTCTGACGCCACGGCGGAACGTAGAGCGAGGAAGGAGGACGCGCGTTGGGTTTGGTCTTTGCTAGAAGCAAAGGAGCACAGAGACTTCGCACGTTGTAAAGCTCTCTTCTCTTCTCTCTCTCTCTCTCTCTTTCTCTCCCTCTTTTCCGTATACTACTCCTTCGCTTCTCGTTTCCGCACCTCTTCCGCGCGACGACCGCCACCCCTTGTTGCCCCCGCCGGCGACCCTTCCTTCTCTCTCGCCCTCTCGTCCTCCCAACCACCTCCCGGCCCCAGCATCCTTCGCTTCCTTCATCATCGCGAGCAGAGCGCGCCTACCTGCCAAAGACGATGGGCGCCGCTGCGTTACGTCACCGACTTGCGAATCAAAATCTTATTAACTGCTGAAAGTGAGTTTCACTTCAAAGTGGAATTTAATTACATTCGCGCCTGCCTACCCACCGCGTCCACCCGTTTCCTTATTTCTCCCGATTGCCCCCTCGGTTTGCTCTCCTGTCTCTCCTCTCCCCTCGTTCTCTCCCCTTTCTCTCTCTCTCTCTCTCTCTGCTTTCTCTCAAGCGCACTACCAGTGCTCGTCTTGCTCTTCCATTTTCTTCGATCACTTTCCCGCTCGTTGTTGCTTCCATCTTCTCTTCAGCCTTTCCTCCGTCCCCTTTCTGCCCATAGCTCGCTCGAGGACGCGTCGCGCGAGGTTTTCGCTCTTGAACGAAAATATTTAAATTTCGCCGCCTCGTCCAGCGGAAATTATTGCTTTCGCCGCCTCGTCCGACGGCAACTCCGCAGCCACTTTCCGTCCGCTATTCAGGCAGTTATCCCCGTCCGAATTACATCGCCCGTCCACCCACCCTGCCGCGCTGTTTACAGCACGGGCAGATATTCAAATGCCGTCGCGATTATATCCTTCCGCCTGGACTCGGTCGTGCATCATCGTCGGAGGTCGAAAGACGAACCGGGAGCTTCCTACTTCTTTTTTTTCCTTTTTTCTCTTCTTTCTCGTAATGTCTGGTCGGGGCAATTGCCTCTTTTCCTTTGATATAGCCGCCATCCCTTGCTTTCGCTGCCTTATCTCGTGATTAATTTCGCGGAGTCTGCTCGCCTCCTCTCCCCCTCCTACCACCGCCATATTCCTCACCCCTCACCCTTTGGAAAGCAGGTGCTCCGAAGAGACTCTTTGCTCGCGCTTCATCGTTCGATGGAAACGCCCGAAGACGCCGCGGATTATGAGCTTCGCGGCTCCCTTTCTCTCTCTTTCTCTTTCTCTCTCTCTCTCTCTCTCTCTCTCTCTCTCTCTCTCTTTTTCAGATACCGTTGTGTACAGGGCGCGCGCCCTGAGATACTCATTCTTTTAATCCGTGGATTATTTGGCCGCTTTGCACAATTGATTTTTCCTCAACAAAATGTTTAATTGTGTCGATATCGATGCGCGAATGCCAATGAATCCTCCAACTGTGCGCGATAAAAGTGTACGTTCTAAAATTAAGCTTTCGAGTCGCAAGTAGATGAGAGATTCGATTTTTACCCGGTAGATCTTCGTAGGTATTCGTGGTCGTAAATTATTTACGATCTTCGATTGCGAGATGATACCTAATTGCATATCTGTCCTCCAGAGTCGTCCTCGGCCCGCTTTGCCACGATGCTTCTTGATGATTTCTCGATGAAGTATTATAAGTTAACGAGCCGGTCACACAAAGACAATAGCCTGTTCAGCGTGTTGCACCTGGAGGTTCTCGGACGATCGATTCAAGTTCGACGGAATTCACAGGCTCGACGTAGACCCGTAAAATTTCGACTCGAGTTAAACTCATAGGCTCTAATTGCGAGAGATTAAAAACTGCGCGAATCGAGCGGCCAACTAATGCACGGCGAAGACGTGAAACATCTGTGCGGCAAAAAAAGTGACGCGAATATCCCGGCCTGTGGCTAAAGATTGCACAGACGTCCGTATTTTTATGGACAATGCGCCTATGCTTTTATCCCGTGACATAAAAATATACGCGCATCCGCGCGCGTTACGGTACACTTAGCTCTACGGGGAATATGGTTTTCGTGCTTAATCCCTCGGAGACTGAAGCGCGTTATTTTTAAATTCTTTTATCGGCGATCCTTTAGCTTTTTACGATGGTGAGCCGTTAGGTCGCGCGATACCGCGCGCTCGTACTCGCGACTAAAAATGTCAAATTTCCCCTAGCGATGATACCCGAAAGCGAGTTAGCGCTGAATTCACGATGAAGATCGCGGCAAGACAAAGCCCCTCGCGTGCTTTATCCGTCGCGCGCGCGCGCACCTCGGCACCTCGGATAATTGGACGCACACCGGGCGGAGGACTTTGGCAGAATGAAGAATTCGGACTCACCTCTGCTGCTTCCGTCGGGTCCACGGAGGATGGTGCACTCCTCTATTGTGCCGAAGGCAGTGAACAACTGTCGGACATCGTCTTCAGTTTGTTGTTTGCTTAGCATTCCCACGAACAGCTTTCTGTCTGCAGGTCGACGGCGCGTTGCGAAATAGAGGGAACAGAGAAAAAAAACAAAGAACAGCGTTAGTGACTTCTGTCCGCGCGTTAAGCGTCTGTAGGCGTTAAAGAGAAGATCTTGCGGCTAACACCGAGAAAAAAAAACACGACAAAGTTACACGATTACATCAGCATCCACCATCCTAAAGGGGCGTAGGGTTAGGGTGGGGGAACAAGGAGGTAAAGGGGTATATATATAAATATATATATGTGTGTGTGTATATATATATATATATGTGTAATATATATATATATATATATATAAAAACGTGACATATTTGTGTATGCTCACGTTGCCCGCGACGCGCATAGGTAAACGTTTCATCATGTCCATATGTACATCTAAACAGTACTGGGAACTGCGCGCACGTGTGTGTGTGTGTGTGTGTATGTGTATGTGTGTGAGTACATCTACCTGCGTATGTATGTCGTCTGAGCAATACGGCAGTGTACAGGTTCTATGTGTCTTCTGTGCGGCAATCGTAACCAAGAACACAATCACGGAAACAATAATTATCATAATCAATAACGACGTGACATACATATGTAACAGCGGAAACAGTATACTCCGTGGGAGAGACAACGATGATGCGATCCGTGTTGCGACAATGATAAGGAAAATAATCCATAACCAATACCGAGCAATACGGTCGTCTAGACGAAAAAACCGAAGACGTGAGAGGGAGGTGTGCCGGGGGGGCGTCGCGAATGAAATCAAACAAGGCATTAAGCGGATTCTGTCTGTATAGCCGACACTTTCAACAACGGTGACCCGTGTCGAGTTAGTCGTTACTCATCCGACGTCTGCACACGCGGCGGACTCAAGCGTAAAACTGCCAGTTGTTGTTTAGCACGTACGTGAGGTCTACTCTCGAGATGGATCACCGGCGCAACAAAGTTTCAACAATGAATGCTCACTATATTTTGCAGCTATTTCTAAATCTTGCACGGGGGAGAGATGAATGAGAAATATATAACGGGTTAACCGCGCGAGATGATTCTCCTCGGGTCGGAACATCGCTGGGGGATCGTCGGGTCCGATCGAGAATCTTTTGTGATTGTAGTCCTTCGAAAAATATCGACTTCCGTTTCGCTTCTTGTTTCCAAGGTGGAAATGTACTCTCGGAACGGTTCTCGGCCAAAAAATTCTCTCGGTGATTTGATATCCGTCTCAAGGGTGCTCTCAACTCTTTCTTCTCGTAGTGTATTGCTGGTATAAGCCGGATATCTATACGTTGAAGCGAGAGAGAAAGAAAGAAAGAGAGAGCAAGGCGAAACTGATTTACACATCGCGACTGTAATTTGGAAAGGTGAACGGGCTTTGTTCTCTTAGAAATATATGCAATGACGCGTACAATGTGTACATACGTATGTTACCTGTATGTGTATCCTTACGTATAATATCGATAAAATACGATTATGGCGGTGCGAGATTTACAATAAGATTGCGCGGGGAAACAGAGAGAAAGAGAGAGAGAGGCAGAGAGAGAGAGAGAGAGGCAGAGAGAGAGAGAGAGAGAGAGAGAGAGAGAGGCAGAGAGAGAGAGAGAGAGAGGCAGAGAGAGAGAGAGAGAGAGAGAGAGAGAGAGAGAGAGAGAGAGAGAGAGAGAGAGAGAGAGAGAGAGAGAGAGAGAGAGAGAGAGAGAGAGAGAGAAAGAGAGGCAGAGAGAGAGAGAGAGAGAGAGAGAGAGAGAGAGAGAGAGAGAGAGAGAGAGAGAGAGAGAGAGAGAGAGAGAGAGAGAGAGAGAGAGAGAGAGAGAGAGAGAGACGGATTCAACTGAGCCGGAATGTTCGCGGGAGCGATTGGGAGCATGGCAGAGGGGGGGGGAGGAGAGGGTGTTGGAATGGGTGGCTTGACTGTCGAGAAACAAAGGTATCATAAACTGTCATATATAGAATCAAATCTAAGTAATACAATAAGATAAATGTAGCTCACATCATAATCAGAAAATATGTACAGAGGTGATAAAAAACACATCGACAACGAACGAGACAACACATCCAACGAGCGAGCCACTATTGTATGGTCATAGCTGTATATATATATGTATATATAAAGAGCGGTATAATATATATATATATGTATACATATATATATAATATATAATATATATATACGATATCAAGATGGTCGACCACACGAACGGATGTAAGGTCAGACGGGGGTTTTGGAGTGTAAGACGACGGGACTTTGGACTTAGAAACGTACAATATACTCGGCACTCTGGAGCAAAAGGGGCCGTTGCCGTTGTACGGTCGGTAGACGCTCTAAGACCGCGATTCTCTCATGTATTCTGCATCGCGTTTGGTCCATTGTGCCGATCGGTGGAATTCTAAGAGCGTCCACGCATCGTCCCGTCGTAACGAGGCATCGATAATAGTGTGATGTAACGGCGGTGCGCAATAAACAGAGCAAAAAACACGAACGACAGGTTTACGGCTACAGGTTTCAGTCACGCACGTGGGTACGCACAACACTGTCTATAATACCTTCTGGCGTAAAACGATGCGTATCGTGCCGGATGAAACGGATGAAAGGGAAACGGCGAGGGGGCGGGGGGCGAGAGAAACAGACAGAGACTGAGAGACAGAGAGACAGAGAGAGAGACAGAGAGACAGAGAGACAGAGAGAGAGAGAGAGAGAGACAGAGAGACAGAGAGAGAGAGAGAAAGAGAGAGAGAGAGAGAGAGAGAGAGAGAGAGAGACAGAGAGAGAGAGAGAGAGAGAGAGAGGAGAGAGAGAGAGAGAGAGAGGCAGAGAGAGAGAGAGAGAGAGAGAGAGAGAGAGAGAGAGAGAGAGAGAGAGAGAGAGAGAGAGAGAGAGAGAGAGGAGAGAGAGGAGAGAGAGAGAGAGAGAGGCAGAGAGAGAGAGAGAGAGAGAGAGAGAGAGAGAGAGAGAGAGAAGAGAGAGAGAGGAGAGAGGAGAGAGAGAGAGAGGAGAGGAGAGAGAGAGAGAGAGAGAGAGAGAGAGAGAGAGAGAGAGAGAGAGAGAGAGAGAGAGAGAGAGGAAGAGAGAGAGAGAGAGGGGGGAGGGAGAAAGGTGGTGCTCAAGATTGATACAAAGGAGCCCAATATAGCAATCGCTTTCACGGCACGGCCAAGTGCTCGACCGGAAAGAGAGTACGAATTGTCATGATTCGTTCGATTTTCAATTGGGAGCGTCTCTCGAGAATTGAGCTCTAGCCACACAGAGCGAAGAGAGATTTTGACTTGCGTATTTCCACGAGCCAATTGTTCCAGCCAATTATCCAATGCCAATCGTGGGATTCACGTGCAAACTGCGTGTTCGAGTCCTTCGGCCTGCGTGTACGCACGGTCGATACGCAGAAGCTAGTTTTGATGAGTTGCACGTACGTATTTGTGTCTGTGTGTGTTTGTGTGTGTATGCGCAAGTATGGGTGTGAGTGTGCGAGAGTGTCTCGAGGCTCCGAGACAAGATCGTACGGAGACTCGAAACGTTTCGGCGAGAGAATTTGGACGAATACCGTGTACTTGGTGCGAATTTAGCCTCCTCCGAGAGGAATAGATATATAGACCGGCCGCACTAAGTCGGGCTAAGGGATGATGGTTCGTGAGGGAATGCTGAAGGTACGGTGGTTCAAATACTAGCGAGCAGCAAAACGGACTTTGCGGCGGGCTGTGCTGGCTGAATCAGCGGTGATGGCGTGATTGGGAGGGGTAGGTACTGGACCCGTTTCTTTTTCCTTATTCATTCTTTTCTTTCTTTTTCCTTTTTTTCTTTTTTTTTGCTTTTTCTCATCTCTCTTTTCATCGAGGGGAAGTTCACTTTCTGCTGATTTGCGGAGAAGAAGAATAGAGGTACTGGAAGGAAGCTAGCTATCTCCTGGAAGTCGAAGTTACCTTCAGCGGCCGCCACCGGTGCCTCCTACTTCCAGAAGATGGCACAGGCGCTCCCGTCGTCCATCATGCACTCTGGAATACAGAACAGAAACAAAGAAATAGCATTGGACCTAAAAATACACCATTCGTCGTCGTCGTCGTCGTCGTTGCCTACGTGAATCCTCGCGAGATTCAATCTGATCATAGACTCGCCCAATTGGGGGGCACGTACGGACGCGTTTCTTTCGCGCACAGTCGTACGGTGCACAGGCACAGGACGTTTTCTTTCGACCGGATCTTCTGCGTGACGAGTACGACAAAACCTGGCGGATTATAGAAAAAAAAGAAAAAGAAAAATACAGTTTATGATCAGTATAACAAGAGATTGTCGAATGGGCCGATGCGCACAAAACGCATCGGCACGTTCGGCGAAAGCGTTCGCTCTCGCAAACCATCGCAACTCACTTTGCGTAGCAGGCTGCTTCTTGCCGACTGCTTTTTACGCGCTGCGTTCGTGTAACGCGATTAAACGCCCGCTAGGACAGCGTACACACAGCGCGGTTTGGCCGTCGTTTTGCCGAGCACGGACGGATTTTCGCGCCATTTAAGCGCGACCGTGCGAATTAGATATCGCGATTGTGATAATCTAATTTTCACAATATAGTACCAGATCACAAATATAACGTCATCGGCTTAACAGACAATCGCAATCGCAGCGATTACACGCAGGTCGCGCGGCGTAAACGGTGATACGTTGACGTTGATTCGACGCTCGCGCGGCGCCATTCGAAGCGCTCAAAGTCGCTCTTCGTTCCTGCGAGCCGCGCGATACTCGATCGTCCTCTCTTCGCCGGGCGTCCGAGTAACCTCGCGTAATCGGCCATTTTTCGAAGATCGATTCATCTTTCGGAACGGAATGTCGCACGGCTGTCGTCGTCGGCACGAATTTAGCGAGACGCGAAAGGTTGTCGCCGCCACGGCAAAGTCCCGCGATATTCGCGCGAGTGACGCCGACGGTGTTTACGCGCCTCTTTCCATCTCCCCGACTAGAAATTTATCCCATGGTCCTGAGGGTCAGGTTAACCTCATTTGGACATCAGGTCCCAATAAGGTGATATTATCGGGTC